CCAAACCAGTCACTGAAGACTTACCAGTAGGACTGAATTAAACACTTCTCACCACTCATTCAGGATCATCACTCTCCAATGATCAGGGCCAACATGCTGACAGTTTATCAAAATTCAGCACACTATTCTGCTAATGTATCCCCAGCTAAAGATGCCGCACTGCAAATTCTGAAAAAGAAGCTGCAGAACAAAGCCTCAAGAACTTGTAAATGCAAGAAAGGTATCACAGTGTGCGGTAAAGCAAGCACAAATTTGCTGTGTTTGCTTGATGATGCAGCATGACACACAGTGGGTCTTTAGCATCGCAACAGCAGCTACACACAGTGCAAATATTTACCACATAAGTACACCCACGAGCTGAATCCTGCACAGCCTGAAGAGAAAAGCCATCGTAGGACACACAGAATCATCAACAACCACAAAGGACAGCAGAGGATATCAGTCTTCGTGCCAGAAAGTTACTGATCAAACAATGAAAACAACATAAAGAACCGTTGCACACAGTGGGCTCTTCTCATTTCTCTGTTTTGTGCCTCCTCATCTCCTCCGCCTCCTGTCTGTAACCTGGAAATCAATTCCAGTGTGTCATTATTTAGGGATGCCTTAATTTCCAAAATGCATCTCAAGGAGAGAGGAGCCAGGAGAGAGGTTGCAGGTTGCTGAAGGGACATATGAGTGAGGAAGTACTCTCGATATATTTAAAAGAACCATCATGATGTACCATGGGTGGCTGTAGCTCAGGTGGCAGAGCAGGTCAGCCACTGACCAGAAGGTCGGTGGTTTGATCCCAGGCTGCCTCCTGGCTGCATGACAAATATCTTTGGGCAAGATACTAACCCCGTGTTTGCCTACTGGTGGTGGTCAGAGGGCCTGGTGGCGCCAGTGTCCGGCAGCCTCGCCTCTGTCAGTGCGCCCCAGGGCAGCTGTAGCTACAATGTAGCTTGCTGTCACCAGTGTGTGAATGTGTGTGTGAATGGGTGAATGACTGAATGTAGTGCAAAGCGCTTTGGGGTCCTTAAGGACTGAGTAAAGCGCTATACAAATGCAGGCCATTTACCATTTACCTTTGGTATATGATTAAAGTATAGAAGCTGCCATAAAATATCATGGTAAGCTTGAAAAAAAACAGACATCACATAGTTATATGAAAGGGGGGGGGTTAAAAAAAAAGTTTAAAAACTTTCATAGGACTACATACAGACCTATAAAAAAACTAGGAAAAGGTCAGCAGCAGCAGATGTTGGTGATCAACTGCACTTGTTTGACGGATAACCAGCACGTGTGAGCACCTTTACAGAAGCAGAAGTTTTGGCAGTTTGCAGGTCTGGAGCACTGAAGTGTGCTAACACAATGCCATCATTTTCCCAGAAGTGAACATCCCAGTGAATTCACCCCAAGGTCAGACCGTGCAATGCTCCGAGAAAATGCAAAAAGCCCAAGAGATGCATCTTCAGACTCTACAGGAGCTGCCAGGAGAAATGCTCTCCTCTCTAAGAGCACAGCTTCCAAAGGTTTGCAAAGCTGCATCTGAACAAAGCGCACGATTTGTGGAACAATGTCTTTTGGACAGACAAGACCAAAGTGGAGATGTCTGGCAACAATGCACAGTGTAACATTTGGTGAAAACCAAACGCATGAAAACACAAGCACATCAGCACAGAAGGATGGCGTGCTGGTCTTGTTTTTCAACCACGGGAGCTGAGCACCTCGCAGTCAACGAGTTCACTCAACTCTTCTAGAGTCAAATATGAGACCACGGCCAAAGAAGTGTTGCAAAGGCCCGGTCAAAGTCCAGATCTTAACTTGATTGAGAGGCTGTGGTCAGACCTTGAGGGACCTCTGCATAAACGAATGCCTTCATACTTAAGTGAACTGAACCAATGTTCATCCACAATGATTTGAGAGACCAATATCATCCCCAAAACGATGAATTCAAGTTTTTGCTGCTTAAGATGATTCTAAGCTACTGAATCATGGGGCTTTCCACAGGACTTTATGCGGTCCTGGAAAACCTGTTACATAACTATTCATCTGCAATGACTTCAAGATGATGGCTGCAAAGCTGCATCATTGTCATTTTGTTAAATGCCTCAAATTCCTGACCCCTTCCTGCACCTGATAGGAACTAAGAGGAAATCAATGCAAAAACTGAGAAATGAGAGGAGATCATCTTAATATAGGCTTATATTTATTGTGGTCTCTATATTTTGGACATGATCAGTGCCGTATCTCTGTGGCTGTTTGGTTAAAATTGGCCAATCACTGTGAAAAGCAGTACAGTCTGCGCCCCTGCCCTCAGTTCTTCTGCGATTTTTCATGAACAAACTGTACAACGAACAGCAATTTATAGAAATCCTTTAATAGCTGATTTACTTTGGTGTAATTTGTGGTTACGCTGCTCTGATTAAAGCACTGCTATAAAGTAATAGACTGATGTTATCACAGTGGTTATCTAGTAAAAGGCAATCAGCTAATCACCATGCATCTTTTGATTCCTTATAATTAGCATCTCCTAAATATTCTTTAAAAACCAAAAAAAAACAAAAACCAAGCATACTAAAAATGCGTATTTAATTCTAATGACAATTCAAACCAAGCCAAGCACCAGCCACCGAAGCCGCTTCACATGAAGTTCAAACTGCCATTTTACCTTGCTGCCTGAAAAATTCTGCCCTCCTTTTCTGATTTTTTCTAATAATAGTACTACAATCTACATGAAGAGGAAGGGTGGACAAAGTGAGAAATTACACATATTACACCCGAGTTATTTTTAGAGGAAGTGTTTTTTTTAAATATCACTGCGATTACACACTTTATGCTTGGTGTTACCTTTATTTCTGGTTGTCCCATCTGTCTCACAAAGTTCTCCACCCATGACTTTACCCTGCATCACCTATGCAGGTGAAAAAAAAAAAGACACCACAAACTATAAGAAGAGCTTTGATCATTTTTTTTTTTAAATTGCCGTGATAGCTGCTAAAATAGTGCTCACGTTGTCTGTGTGCCCATTGCTTTTGAACCCCTGTGTGACTTGTGTGTCTGGAAAGGCAGCACTGTTGGCATGGTGATCAGGGCACCCTATCAGGACAGGCGAAGAAGCAGCAGTCAGATTGAGGGTCACCCTGCTCTGGCCTGGCTGGCTGTGATGAGTCCCCTCGCCGGTGCTCCAATCTAATTAAAAACAACTAGCCATCAACTCTAAGACCACGCTAATAATTTCAGGAAGTGGTAAAACAGAGCCGCTTTTACTCAATATCCTACCCTTGTTGCCATAGCGCCGAATGTCCATGGTCAAACTGCCGGTTTGCAGGGCAGATGACATTTTATCCCTCCACTGGTCGTAGTTCATGTGTGCCACCGCAGCTCCATCGACGGCCACGATCTCGTCGTCGACACGCAGCTGGCAGAGCTCGGCTGGACTGCCTGAGGGAAGAAATGAAGAAAGATGAAAACGAGTATGGCATAACATGAAAAAACGAAAGTGCCAATTCAGAAATTATTTGCTTAGCATGAAGTGAGAAACACAGTAGGAACTGTTCCTATCTGAAAGTGGGCCACTAAGCAGCGAGTAAGTGACACCTCTCTCATGTCCAATTCATTATTCATGGTTGCGTTTTAAATCACTTTGGTAGTTTGATGCTCAGAAGCCCTCAAATACTGTAAAACTCCTAGGTTAAATTTTCTCTTCCCTACAAGTAACCGTATACATAATTACCATGTTCAGAAAACATAATCAAAATGTAGCCGTTTTGACATCTCTCCCCCTCCACCAGAATAAAAAATAGCTTTGAAATTCTGCACTCTTCCCCTTCTGCTGCATACAATTTCCCTCATAACAAAAATCGACCCACTAACAAATTTGATGCCTTTTTAGTCTGTGACCTGAACTGTCAGTGTCATCTGTTACCGTTTTATTCTCTAAGCGCTAACCTGTGAGAGCAAATTTCCTCTATAAAAAGCAAAAAAGAAAACATCTGTCACTGACTTGTTCCTGTCTCACACAAAGATGCTAAATGTAACGTTCTGTTCTTGTGACAAAACTTCAGCACTCCAGAGTTACATTTAACAAGAGTCTTACCGGGCTGAATGAGCTTAACTCTCGCCCCCGTCGAGTCCCAGTGAGTATGGAAACCAAAGTCAGCTAGACTGTTGGGTTTAAGAGTAAGGCTCACTCTCATGTCACTGTGATCCACCTGGAAATACACACACACACACACACACACACACACACGTACGTGTAAAGGTGACACCGTGTGATCCAATGTCGAATGCTTCCTAGTGGAAATTAGAGACTTGAGTGGCCCGCTACACAAATATAGTAAGGAAGGGATAAACTGAATGACCAGTTACGGTCAGAAATGCCATATTAATGCTGCTTTAAGTTTGAAACACTGTAGTGAATGGTAATTAAAAAAAATAAAAAATAAAAAAAATAAAAATAAAAAGTAAGGGGGGGTGACCTTAGAAGTTGTCATGACAACACCATTTAACCTTATCTAATGATATAAATGACACCAGTCTACAAGTCAAAATGTCTGAAAATAAACATTTCCCAATATTCCAAAATGTTACTTTTCTGGTCGTCACTGAGCTTATTTAATGAGAACAATCATTCATTACACCTTACGATCCCTCTCCAAGTGTCTAATTTCATGATATAAAAGACGGGTGTAGCCATCATGGCTGTTCCCTACATCCCATCAAGCCCCATTTTAAAGCCTTGGGATGAGCAGTCTCACCGTTGTTTTTTGGATAGATGCAAAGAGGAAAGTGCACATGTGTGCAACCTGTCAAACAAGTCATTAGCCAATAATCATACCACAGATAATTCTCAATTTTTAAACATTTTTTTCCTCCCAAGACGACCCAAAATAAGTCAAACTAATTTTGGGTCAAAAACTCCGCAGGAAACTGTTTACAGAGGTAAAGACAGAAAGCCGCTTTCCCAGACATCTATAGGACCAAAAGTCTTTCTGCAACCACAGCTTTTGCCACCTGGTGGCTTTCACATGTAATGCAGGTTTAAGATGTTTCTGCATTGGCTTCATTGTCTAGTGTAAAATTGTGACCTTCCAACTTGGACAAAGATTGAGGAAACCCCCAGGAGCAGACTGTCAATGCTCTAGCTCTGGGACAGTGAAAAAACAAAACAAAAACAACAACAAAAAGAAAACCAAAGAAACAAAAGAGCCGCACACATGCAGCTGGTCAGGCCCCTGAACTAATGCACTTTGAGAGTGGAAACTGGATTTTTCCACTGAAAACTGCTGTTAGCTTTCACTGTAGCCCAGGTTCATGAAAGTCAAGTACATTCGATACAGAAGCTGATGTTTGCTCTCTGCACAAGTCTGGGGTCCATAGTGTAACTACACAATAACTGCAGGGGGTCAGAAAGTGACGTTGAGGGAGTGATTTGAAAATGGCAGCAGCTCTAGAACTGGTCCAGATCCAGTCAGTTTAAATCTGATTTTATATTATCATTCTCCTCATCCTTTATTTATCCAGGTGAAAAGTTTGAGATTTAAATCTCATTTCCAAGTGAGACTTGGCCATAGGGCAGCAAACTTTTATAGGAGTTTGTTTCATTCATTTTTTCTACAGAGCAGTGGGTAATCACATAAATGCCATTGATTTGATATGATCTTACAAGTTCAAAAATACTCCAGCATACCTTTGGAAGATCTGTGCTTCCATCAGCTGAGAAGGTCAAGCCTCTATTTTGACGAGACTGCAGATTTGAATAAGGTTGAGGCAGTATCTGGCTTTGAATGGAGGGTCGATAGTAATAGCCACTGCTCTGAAAGGAGGTCTGGCTGGAAAGATTGGAGCTAGTCACTTGCTCTTCCTGTCCTGCACCAGTCTGCTTCCCCTGGTTGGTCTGATACGGACCGCTCAGCTGGGCGGTCGCAGTCTGTCTTTTCAGAGATGGTGAAGATGGAGAATCCTCTCTCTCACTGTTCAGCAGCACACCCTGATTGTCATCTACCTGGAGATGAAGAAAAACAAGATGTGCTCAGAATCTGCAGCGCTGAAATGTTAAAGTAGGGCCTTAAAAATGTGTAAAACCAGCAGATTCGTGAGAAATGTGTAATCTGGGAATGAACTCCGCAGTGCAGCAGCACTTCTTTTATTAATGAGGAAGGCAATCAAAACAAAAGGTAACAAGTTAGCTCAAACAGTGTGCACAGACAGACACACACATACATACACAATGCTCTCATTACACCAACTTACTTAAGCTTATTAGGCTGTCTTAACAAATCCCTGTACACCACCTCAGACACTAAAATTCAATTTAGCCAGAAAAATAACAGGCTGACTGTAAAATAATGTCAGAACGACATGTTTTTCTGTTAAGCAAAAAATTAAATAACACTTTTTTTTTAAGTTTGGATTTAGACCCAAGGTTTCCTGGCATCCATGTTCATCACCATAAGCATTTTCAGCTCTTATAATTGCCCAAACATGGTTTTTAAGCTTGATCAAAAACCTGAATGAATTGCAGGTTTGACAGTGACATTGTTAATATTTAAACTGAGTCAGCTGAGGAGGAAGATGGGTGTTAGGCTGGATTAATGCAGTTAAATGGATACGGTGTGATAAAACCAATCTTTTTAAAGAGCAACAGGGCCACAGACGCAGCAACCAGTGAACTCACATTGTACATCCTGGGCAGTGATGACACTCTGGACTGCTTGGTCCCAAAGGGTCTGGCTGTGATAGCAGAAGAGAGACGGGATGAGCCCTCAGACCGACGGTAACCACGGGGAAGGCTGGCTGAGCCAGACCAGGAAACAGTTCTGGGCAAGAACTTGTAGACGCCTGGAGTCTGCGGGGCCGTGCTTTGCTCTGCTGCTGCTTGCCAAGAGGACTTCTGTCCGTCTTCCTGAGAGTTGTCGTTCTGATGCGATAAATCCTCACCAGCAGTTTTAAGCTCCGGATGAACATAAAAAAATGCTTTTTGTTCACTAGACATGGATAAAGTGGGACTTTTGTTGCTTTTAGAATTTGTGGTCTCGTTCAGCTGTAAAGCTGTAAAATGAGTGGAGATTTGGTTTGTAAGGCCATTTTGTGGCTGGGAAAGTTCACAGGTGGACTGGAAAGGAGCTGTGCTGCTCTGGGATTTCACTTGGGTTTGAGAGATCACAGGAAAGCCTAGAGAAGGCATGCCAACTCTTGCTTCATCTAAAGCCGTGGAGGCAAAGTGGATCTCCTCTCCCAAGACTTTTCCATCAGGGACAACCACTGCTCCACCCTGAGAGGAAAGGGCCAACAATGAGAACAGTTATGCCATCTGGCAATATAATAAAAACACCTAATAGGTTATAACACTTTTCACAACTCAGCTGTACTCAAGAAATTTTTTAAAATCATAAGCATTTTTAATCCCATTATTAAAACAGTGTGTGGTGCTCATTAACATCAGGGAGGTAAAACTCAATATTGTAAACCTACTTGAGCATGGGTTGAGCTCTGGGAGCTAAGAGGAACCGTGGGGCTGAAAGGTGCCTCGGTGGCATAGCTGCGGGCCAGCAGAGCTCGAGTATGTGGCCGGAGATCAGAGCTTGATTTTGATGGAGAAGTTGTTGAGTAAGGACGAGGCGCTGTGTTCCTGGTCCAAGGTGACTGCTGGTATCTGGGGTATTAATATGCAGGGGAAGAGTAACCAAAGGATTACAGGTAGCAGAAAACATGAAGGAAGGACAGGCATCACAATTCACGAGTATATATACAGTTATAAAAAGGTACAGTGCTGTGAAACTGTATTTGACCTCTTGATTTCTTGCATATGTGAAATGTTTCATATCAAACAAATATTAATATAAGACAAATATAAGCAGAGTATGAATAAAATGAATTAAGGTTAAATGAAAAGTTATCCAAGCCTACTTGGCTCTGTGTGGAAAAAAGTAGTTGCCCCCTAAATCTATTAACTGGTTGTTCCGCCCTTGACAGCAAGAGCTGCAATAAAGTATTTGTGATAACTGGCAAAGGGTCCTTCACATTGCTGCCCACTCATCTTTGCAAAATAAGTTTCATTCAGTCACACTGGAGGATTTTTGTCCTGTTTAATATTATTTAAGAATGAACTTTGACTAGGCCACTCCTAAAGCTTCATGGTTTGTTTTGGTTTTTTGAGCCATTCAGAGGTGGACTTGCTGGTATGTCTGGATCACTGTCCTGCTGCATAACCCAAGTGGTTTTGAGTTCTGATGGTCGGACATCCTGCTTCAGGATCTTCTGGTAGAGAGCAGAATTCATGGTTCTATCAATTACAGCAAGTCATCCATGTCCTGAAGCAGCAACAGCCCAGTTCAGTGAAACTGAAATCTGCTTTCTGAAATAAATGCGATTAATCACAATTCATGATTTACTTTTTCCACACAGGGCCAGCTTTGTTATGATAGCTTTCTGCCCTTAATAAATTAAATTATTAAAAAACCTTTTGTGTTCATTCAGGTCATCTTTGTCTAATATTATTATTATCTGATCGATGATCTGAAACAAATAAGCCAAAGATAAATGAATAAAGAGTAAAAAAATTCTTTCATGCCACTGCAAATAGCTGTACATTAGGCATTGTTCAAAAATATTTAAGAATTTATTCTTTTTAAAAACAATTGTAGCACAAACATACTTTAGTTTTGCTTCATTCTTCTCAATAGTTGTCACAGACCCGTTGATCATCTTATCCATTACATGCTCTCTGTCTTGTGATTTAGTTCGAAGTTCAGACTTTGTGCTCCTACGACGGGTTTTCCACTTTTTCAAGTCCTGAAAGAAATGCACAACATCAACCAACTACACCACTGCCTGTGTACTTATCAAAAAGTACCCCCCCCCCAAAAAGCCACTTCAATTTAGACCACATCTGCATTCTTGACTTAGGTACTGTATTTGTAAACTACTATTAACCAGCATGAGTATATTCAGATATGCTCTTAACACACTGAGTTTTTTGATCTCTAAACATTCAACTATTTTCCACTTTTTAAGAGATGATTTATCCAAATTTCAGGAGCAAGACGGCCATATTATTGCTAAAACCACTTTCTAGATGGATGCAAACTGCATTTCGTTGCCTTGCACTTGTAACGTGTCCAATGAAAATAAAGTTGATTTTTATTCTATTACTGCTCTACAGGCTGTTTTTTTTATTTATTTATTCTATTAATGTCATGCCCCACCTTCTTACCTCTCAGGTTTCTCCTTAGTACCCGAGGACCTTCCCAACTCAGGAGCTGCTGTCAATATTCTTACTCCATTTGCCATTCTCTTACAACAAGTGTCTAATTTAGCGAATCTTGAATTTGTAATATGAAATGTCAAAAATAAGCTTTAAATTTCAACTTATAACAATACGAAAGAGGAGTCATTTAAATGTGCAGAAAAAGCAAAATGTGAAGATCTACAATTACCATCTGATGACAAAAATGCTCAAAAGCTTCAAAACACCAAACGGACTGTGAAAAATATTGCTGTGTCAGCATTTATGCATGAACTTACATCCTGCCACTGAGCTTCGGCATCCTTGGCAGCAACGCTACACTTCCTTCTGTTGTCTTGATTCCACAGTCTTGTCAATCCGGTGTCCTGACTTTCATCATGAGTAGTGTTTGCATCAGGAGCCTTTCGCACAGGGTACACCATGGGGATGTCACTGAGAGATTTGCTCCTGGTTCAGACACACGGGAGGCAAGGCACTTAAACAATGATGGATGACATTATATGATTACACTGCAGCTTCATATTGCATGAAAGTGACACTTCTGAGCACCACGTAGCAGGGTATGCATGATAACAGCCACATTGCTTGCATGCACACGCACACACACACACACAGCACATGCTTACACATGTATACACAACAGGGTGCAGTTCTGCCAGCTGTAGCAGCACATTCTGCAATGAAACGACAGAATCCTCAGCGAAGTGCGAGCACGAATGTAGCATGCCAGTCAAGCAATGCAAAAGTATTGAAAAAGAAATGTAACAGATGTTGCTGTCTGGATAACACAACAGTCATGACTCATAACAGGTAATAACACTGCTCTGGGCAACAGAGGATGTCATACATGACATTCAAATAACTTACAGCAGCATTTAGAAGGTGGTCTATCAAAACAATGACATAATCTGATGGGAGGAACCAAGACTGATTACAAACAGTCCTGTCATAAATTCCACTGTCAAGCCTGTGCCCAGAAAATTAATAGAGGTGATGTGCACCACACGCTCCACCTTCATGAAAAGGGAAACTATTCTGGTGGCATTATTTTGGTTCTTTACAACCTGAATTCAAAGAAAAGCATACCTGGATGAAGCAGCAATAAAGCAGTCACGTCAAAGCGGCCTCAGACATTTTTGCTACGATTTTATGTTTAAAACTTTGGAACTTACCAAATCCAGCCAGGATTGACCTGAACTGGTCTCTCAGGCTTGACCTGGGTTTGACTGGCTCTAAAGAACCAGAGAAACAGACATGAAGACTGATGAACATTGTGTGCCTACATGTAGTGGACCTGGTTTGATAAAGCATCCAGCAACATGCTGCATAATATAAATTAAAAAAAAAAAAAAGTGGTCAGGATAAGAGGTTAGACCACAAAACACAAAGAGGTGCTGTATGAATGAGACCATGTTTTTGTAATACACACGACTTCAAGACCACAGCCACTCAAACCCATCTCACACACACTAACACACACCAGACAAAATGTTTTTGTACTGCATATAAAATACTCCACGCAGTTTCTTGACCTGTGGCATCATACTTTATTTTTCAAAAGCGATGACATTCACACAGTAAACTGAAAGAAAAAAAAAAATTGAAGGCACAGCTCATGTTATAAAGAATGTGAACAAACTAACAAATGCATCACTCAGCAATGTGGCAGATACAACATTTGGGTGGTTTTAAAAAAACCAAAACAATGATCTTGATAATTTCATACAATAAATGAGAAAACAGAGCATGTTTTAACATCTTCTCATTAGTTGGATATTTGTAAATGTGTGGAAAGGCTTCAATCCAGTTTGTGGTTAGGATTGTTATGATCGTGTGCTTGTTATGTACGGCTCTTCAGGACAGCTGCAAAAGTTCAGGCTTGTGTTCAGGCTTCTGGGGCTCTCCAGATACGAAGTCGACGTCAAACTCTTCTGCAAAAGCCAAGGCTTTACGGCTACAGTCAAAGAAAAGAACAGCAAATATATGAAATGTGTGCAACACAATTAGCAGCAGACCTTATAGACACAGCTCTTACAATGAAGGATTAAAAACGGGATTAAAAAAAAAAAATGTACACTGCAAGATCATAGATCAGCTTTAAATTACATTATTATTCTTGCAAGCTACTGCTAGCTAATTCCTTGTGCTTAGCAAACTAATATTTAGTTTGCTACAGCTGCCATATAAATCCACCGCTGCATCACACTTTTGGTTATTTTAGCATCACATCTTCATGTTAGAGTTTAATGTAAGTAAAAACTAAGCTCAAGCCAGTAAAGGCAGCCATTATTTTATTTCTGCTTTGCAAAGCAATCCATGAATTATTTCCAGCTTTAAGTAGTACAATACTGCAATTTTACCATTGTTTTGTATTAGTTTTAAGCATATTTCTTTGTTAACACTGCTTTGAATGATAAAAAGAGACAGACCTCAGGCGCTGCATTTTATGATACCAGGGACGTCTTTGGGAGCCAAGGTAGATCCTGCGTACACGAACCTCCTCTTCAGGCGTCCAATATTGGGGTAAGAAGCGGTCATAATGCAGATTGGCAGATGTCTGATGAAGTGTCTGCTGCATTCGTCTAAAATGCAAGTCGTCTAGCACTGGGTCTGCCTCAGTATAATCATCCTCCGAGTCTTCCTCACATAGAGCTTGCAGGAAAAGCTCTTCAGTGGCACACTCAGGAGAACAGATAGTGAAGTGGCATTGAGGAGACGGAGGGGCATCTGCAGTGCTGCAGTAAACAGTGATATATCCAAATCTACGTTTAGCCACAGCCAATAGTGATCATAGATAAATCAGCTGGAATGAGCTTGAATGGAAGCGACTCCAAATGTTACCAAGCAAACATTTGATTAATGCCTGAAAGCAAATCACTCTTTAGTTCTTGAGGATATTGTTAGAACATGCTTTTTATTGTGGCTGAGTAAATAGTAAAGCAGAGCATTTGCATCCATATTTAGTTTCAGGGGGGAAAAAAAAAAAAAAAAAAAAAAAAAAAAAAGGACTGGCAAGCAGCAACCAGTGGAGTCAAAAATAATGTTTAAAACTACAGTTCCTGGAGTGAGCCTGACTCCAAAGATGGGTCCGTGCCCATCGACCTCTCAAGTCTGACGTCATTAGCGATTTCTCTCTTTTCAGTGACAAAACTCTTCTTGGTTCCTAAGCTCAAACACTGCAGCACCACTGAGACTTAAAGATGTCCTAAATTCGCTCAGTTTCAAAGTAAGTATCAGAGTGGATTCATGACATTTAATGGAGTTTGAAGTTAGCTTCCTAGTTTCCATGTAAAGATGATATCCTGCGTTCTCACTGTGAGATTTCTGGAAAACTAAAACATATGGCTCTGCTATCACTATGGACATAAATGGAGACAAACCTGAACTAAAACTAAACCATTTGCTTGCTATGAAAAATTCCTGATCTTCAGCTTCATGTACCCATTCAAATCTTCATCAGCTTTAGTGATTCTTTTTTGAAGCATTCAAACTTTTGGTGTCTGGCAAACTGTGAGCACATGTGCTGTAGTTAGATTGTGAGATTTTAAACCCTAAGCTTAAATATGCCACAATAACAGTGCTAATAAAAAGCCAGAGAGGCCTATTAGCTTATTTTAGGGTATTGCTTATGTTAAATAAAATAAGATACAAAGCATTAAAACATTTTTATTTTATTTTTTTAAAGACAGCCTTAAACAGAGTAGGCCTTTATAGAGGATGTCTCCCTTTGTGACAACTGTACTGTTGAGGTCTTATTAAAAACAAGTCAACCAGTTTGGAGAATTTCACTCCTCAAAACTTAGTTGCAAAACTTCTCAAAGAGTGGATGCTATAAAGCAAACTTTTGTCAGTTACTTCGTACCTATTAGCAGAGGCTGTGTGATGCATGTATAAAACATCCATTAACTATACGCTTTATAGACAACCATGGCTTTTAATAGCCAACATGGTGATAACCCAAGTGCTACAACTGAGCCTTTCAAATGCAGAATACAGAGGGCAAGTCTATGAATTAGCACAAGAACATAGTTTCAAGCACAGAGGTTCCATCAGGGCAAGCAAAGCAAACGGTGCTTTCCCTGCGAGTTCTAACAAAAACACCACGCATCAGTTAAAACCAAGTGAAAGCAATCTCCTTTTACCTCAAGCAGCACTCTGTCAAAACCTTTCATCCAGTTGCTTCCATCTTTATATTACTGCCATCTTGTCGCCACAGTTGGCTAAAGTATCTGGAGGGGGAACAACTCCACTTGCCTTCAATTTCCATGAAATCTATAACATGTCTTTAGTCTATGGGTGCGTCTGTGTCCTGTTAACAGTGGACTGAGCAGGGAAACAAACAGCTTTTTCTTGTTTTTTGCAAATTGAGGACAAGCTGCCTGCGGCTCTGCTTTCGTTGCTTTTGAGATCAGCTACCATTTGCCTGTTGTGTGGAAACAGCTAGCATTAGCAAGTAAACAAGCACGTATGATAAATTCGCTCTTACTGATACCCTTGACCAGCATCCAATAAAAGATCATTTTAATCACTTCTTTAGCAAGCAATGCAATGCTAATGGAGGGGCAACATGGCTCCTGCCATGTCTGATTTAATAAAACAGGCAAACTGAACAGGTGCTGGCTCCACCAGCACTTTCAGATTAACATGTATGACATCATCTCTGCTTGCCCTTCTGTAAAAGTCACTGCACATCAATGATTTAAACCAACACTCTTGTCAAAGACTACAAAATGTAATTTACTCATAGAAAAATTGGATCAGAATTTATAGCAAATGACCCGTGTTGATAGTTTGGGAACTGCTATCATGAGAACGCAGAGGTTCACTTGCCAACTGACCCTTTGTGGTGACGTGTTACCAAGTCTGGTGCTCATCTCACACGAGCACTCAGCCACTGCTACACTTTGTTCATTAAAAAGATAAGTGAGTAAAATCACTAGCAAGTGTGAAACTCGAGAACCCAGCTGATCTTTACTGACAAGGAATTTAAAAAAGTGACAATATCCAAGCTCAAAAATAATCCTTAGAAGAATAATTTAAGTTGTAACAGACACTTAAAAAAAATAAAATAGGCAATTAGTCTTGACAGTGACGTTTTAAAAAAAGTCTAGCAGGCAAAGAACAGCTTAAATACCTTGAAAACAATAACCACCTTGTTTGTGTCATACCAAAGTGACTACTTGTGATGGCTGTGCCCATGAATGGATGCAGACATTGTTCATATTGTTAATTGATTTGGATTAGGGTTTAGTGCGAAGGAAAAAGCACTCAGCTGCAAATTAGAAACTCCAAACTGTCGGAAACCAAGCAGCCTTTAACAGTTCTGACAAGTGTGAAATTCAATCCAAACCGAGCCTGAGAGAAAAACAACCCAACTGTATTCCACTGACTGAACTCGGGCTCATATTTAAGGAATCCGAACTCCAGCTTCATATAAAGACAGCAGTATGTTATTCTTTTAATCATTTACATTATGCACTCGTCTTCATATCACACATAAAATAAGCAAGAAGTTAGAAATATAAAAGCTATTTTTTTGAAAGGTCGCCTACGGGTAAGTTAGGCAGCAGTTTGTGAGGAATTTTTATTTGGTCACAGAAACGTCTGGAGCACCTGGTAAACTGACTCACGAAGCCACTTCCATTCTCCTCTGGTCCTTGTTTTCGTCTGAGTGGTGGGACATAGCCTTTGTTTTGATGAGCTGTCACCTGCTTGTTTTCCATCTTGAATACCTGCTCAGCTTCTGCGTCGCCTCCAAAACCTAGATATCACAGAGACACGAAAATTACCCCAAAAATATACATTTAAATGGGGGGAAAATAAAACATGTATGAAAGACAAAAGCTGAACTAAACCTCATCAAAATACAAGGAAGGTTGCACATCAGAAAAAAACCTTTCCTAGATGACTGAGCCTTCACACAGTCAAGCCTTTAGGGAGTATCAGGGCAAGTATTTAACCTCTCCCATCACACACACAGTTATCACACCAGAGTGCAGAATCCATCACTGACATGCACTGAGCCTGACATCAACACTTGCAGACCAAAAAAAAAAAAAAAAACTTGAATAAAAGAGCAGCAGGTCAGAATTTTGCTGATCCACCAAAATGACATAAGTTTGTGAAAACACATTTTTGGGGTACATTTCTGTCACTTTAGCAGTTTCAGGCTGATCTTACAAGGATAAAAAAAAAAAGTTTCACTTTTGCAAGAGTTTCAAAAGCAGTTAGTGTAAAATTAATGAGCAGAGTTACATTTCAAAAACAAAAGACAGCAATAAAGGGGAAAAAAATGCCATCATCAGCTATAATCTCCATAATCTTTCCACAAATTGCAGTGCTGTGTCAAAATATTTAGCAGAAACCAAACAGATTCCTTCACACCCCAGTCATTGTATCACAAATGTACCTTCAACATTCGGGTGCAGGGCCTGGGAGTTAAAGGAGTCGGTGCTGTCTGCAGAGTTGCCCCGCCTGTAATTTTTGTACTGACATTCCTCTTCTGGATTTTGGCACAAACTATCGCTGCTGTCTTTCACAGGTACACCACCCTCATCTAGAGCCTGGAGTAGGAAGGGTTAACAGAAGTATAAAAATAAAGTAATACAATCTTTAAATACTTAAAGAGAAAAATAAAAAATTACCTTGGACAAGGCCAGCCCCAACAGGCCCTCAAAAGCCTTCAAATTAAGCTGAGGGCCATTGTACAATGTGTCCAGGTGAGCCTTGCGACCCAACCAGTAAATTGTTATCAGAACCTGAGAAAGAATAGACAGAATTACAAATATGACCAAACACACCAACCTACTTCCTTACTTAAAGAAAAAAAAAAAAAAAGAAAAGAAGAAAAGACACCACACTGCTCAAAACAAATTAAGAGAACAACAGGCGTACTACAGATACAACAACACCAACAAGACAACTTTCCAAGTAGGGCTGGGCCATATTATACCGTTCACGGTAATACCGGTATAATGTTAGGCAACGATAGGAAAATGAAATATCGCGATAGAATATGAGTAAAACGCGCATGCGCAGTGCCTTTGTTTTCATACGCACATGGCCGATTGTTGAGTGAAACAGATGAACCAGAATTGGTTTGTAAAAATGGTGCAACTTCAGTGATGTGGAACTGGTTTGGTGTTTGTCCGTCAGATACACGACAAAGCACATTTTTTGCAGAACATGCAAGCGGCCGTCGTTATTGTCGTATTTGTCGGACTAAGATGCTCTTAAATCTGGGAGTAATCTGGGTCCTAAACTCCGTATGCTTCAGGTCAAACGAACACTGCAGCATCACTGAGAGTTAAAAACTGTCTAAATTCTTTCATCTTTAATAAAACGATCAGCATTGCTGCTTTACCAGGTGTAACTATGAAGTTTAACTTCCAGGCATCCATGAAAACAAAATTTATTACATTTAACGGAGTTAGAAGTTAGCAGGAAGCTAGCGGAAGTTAGCTCGCTAGTTTCGCTAGTTACCTAAGCATGATATAGCATGTTCTGACTGAGAGATTTCTGAAAAAATTCAAACGTACAGCTCTGCTATCACTTCCAACATAAATGAAGACAGGAAACTAAACAGCAGTGACGTTTGTAGGGTTACTGAAGTTGGGCTAGCTGGTATATAATTATGTGCTACGTGATCGCTAGCGACACAGCTATGTTAGCATAACATAAACAGTGAAGCTGGAGGACGAACACTAACACTTTTCCACTTATAAAAGTTAACGTTAAGGTTCCTGTTAGAGACAAATGCAATCGCATGGCAGGATGCTGTAAACGGACCAAACTTCAGTCAGGAGAACAACTGAGATAATCCATCCACAATACGAGGTTAGTCATTAATATACTGCAACAACATGGGAATAGAGCAGCTGCCAGAGAATTCAACATTAATGAATCAATGGTACAGAAGTGGAGGAAGCAAGAAGAATGAGTTTAATAAAGTTTGATTTATCTGACTGCTTTGTTTCGCTTAATGTGCCTTATAATCCCGTGCACCTTATGGTCCGAAAAATACGTACTGCACACTGCAGTTTAATGTTGCAAAGCACCTCTTTTTAACTTCAGTGGATATTATACATGGTTATGCTCAGGATATGTCAGCCCATTTCTACTGGAAATGCCTTTTGGTTAAACTTTCAGCAAGGAATTTGCATTTGCACTGTTACATTTTTATAAAGCTTTAATGTACATAAAAACCAGCTTCTTGTTTAAGTGAAAATAAATGGAAGGTTGTCTTTTTGCGCTAGTAATGTTGTGGAGTTGTATTTTGTCTCGCATCAATTATATCGTCAGTTATATCGTTATCGCAAATTTTCAAATATATATCGTGATAAATATTTTTGGCCATATCGCCCTGCTCTATTTCCAAGTGTTGTTAAGACCCCTCTCTTCTGAACCACGTGGAAGAGTCCGGTGATGCTGTAGCAAATGTAAAAGGGGATGCCACTGAAAGAACTGCCAGTTCAGGTCCTACCATCAGGCCCTCATGCCATTCTGATGGAGTCCAATTCTGACAGTTTGGTCAGAAACGTGCTCATGAGCTGCCCGCTAGCTGTCATTTTCTGCAATTTCTTCCTCCTCACATAAAGCAACTTGGATTGATGCCCTTCTATGGCCCCGTCTAGCTCTCCTGGTGAAAAACCACCGTCTCCTGTGATCTCCTCCACACTGTTAAAAAACAGCAAACCTTCTTGTGACAGCACAGCCTGAATGAGCTGCAGGTCCATCGTGGGCTACCAGTAATGTCAAGGACACTAGCAGAGAGCTAAACTACAGGAAACTCAGTCAGGAGGGATAAACGCAGCGAGCAGTGGTCTACAGCCCCCACCTGTAACACCACTCCCGGTTAATTGGTTCTCTTGTTGTTGCCTGAACCTGTTTGATGACAGTTTATGCTTCCTAGCTGAAATTTAACTGACTTTGCTCAAAACTGTGATGATCGAATGTGCCTTTATTTCTTTAAAGCAGTGCAGTGAGAGGAAGAAAAAGATGATGATAATGAAGAGGAGGAAAATGAAGAATTGAAATATGCACCTCTGAACTGCATTCAGTTTTTTTGCCATGTGTAAGAATCAATTTTTCCTTTGAAGAAATCACTAGTTTCACTTCTGAATTTCAGCCATCAGTGTCAGCATCAAGGTGCACCAACCAAGCTACTTCGATTTTCCAAGTAAAACGATGTTCCACGACTCACTATAATAATCCCTTTTTCAAAAGTAAGCATTTCTGTTTGTCATATTAGACTGTTGGCACCATTATAGCTGCAATTAGTTTTATTTTCCCCTAATTTGTACAAGCAGAGCGTAAACAAGCATTCGGGGCTTATGTCAAACTTAATTAGGATAAAATGCGTTTCTTTCTCTCCAGTTCTCTCTCATGCCAAGGAAATTACTTCACTGCTTGCAACAGATCACAGGTTAATCCTATATTAGCCATGCATGATTCCATTTTATTTAATAAAGCAAGAAACCCATAATTACTCTTGGCTTTTCAAAAAGTCCTTATAAAAAGGGGAAAGTAGATGAAAATTAACAGAAGGTTGGATTAATAAAAAAAAAAAAAAAAACCTACCCTAATGTACATAAACCCTGATGTTAACATTATTCTGCAAGAGAAATCCTTGAATCGGGCTAATTTATCACAAATCTGAATCTCATCTAAATAAATATTATTTAAATATTTTTCTTAAGTCATACAATTTTTTTGAATGTACTCACAAAAACAAAATGAGAACTTTAAAGAAAAGATCTGATGGATTATATAAAAGACCAAGTGTATTTTGTATTGTATTTTATTAACATTTTTATCTTAATTAAATGGAGTGCAACAGTTCATGCTGGTGTGCTGCATTGTTTTGGTAAACTGTTCCAATTGGCCTAAATTCACCCCAAGTGGTTCATTTGAAAGAATAATTAACTAAAAACATAGAAATAAAAAGAAGGCTACATCAGTGACTGTAGTCTGGAGGAAAAAACAAAACCCTCCGTCCGGGGTTAAAGTTCACAGCTACTGTGCGATTTAAATGAGGCTTCACACGTCCATGTGCATCACTCAGTTCCACACACAGACTTGAGGCAGTTAAGATGGGAGTTTCCAGACGGCCTCTGCCACTTATGTATTCTTATATTTCCATCACTCTAAACTCTATGAGGGCTTTAACACCAGGCTCCTGGGATTTGCCTCAACCTCAGCAAGCTCAGCAGCCCCTCCTCAAGGCCACCTTATTTGTCATACTTCTGGACAAGTCTTCAGCATCAGTAGTTCAAGCTAATATATTGATGGATACTGCTCCCTTTATGGCTTTATATCCAACTCATTTACCAAGAAAGGAAAAGACACCCCAACAAGAGAATAATGACTTACATTTTTGAGTCGTCTGTTGCCTTCGTCACGCCTAAAATAAAATTTCAAGACAGAAATAAGTACTTAAACAAAAGAGCCAAACATCTGCTGGTACAATTTACATTTCGATTGCGTCACTGAAAAGTCCCGGTGAATGAGATAACTGTGAAGGAAAAAAAAGTTACAGTGACATCTTAAGCCTTCTCATTTGCAATCCTCACTAATCAGCAACTTATCAGGTTTTATGGAGAACAGGCCATCAGCTCATATAAAGGAGCAGCTTGTTAGTGAAAGTGCAGACATTTATTAATGCAAAGCAGCACGTTCACTTTTATCTTTTTAAATACACACACTGAAAACTCAGTCAGTGGTAACTATAACCTACGCAGAAAACATTAGGCCCTCGTGTATTTTGCCAGTACACAGTGGTTCTGCTCATACTGTATTTTTTTATTTTATTCTGTATATGCCATTTCTTTTGATTTTCTTGCTTTTATAGCACCGATGTGGGACCGTACAACTATTTCACTGTACTATTGTACAAAGTATCACTGTGCAATTGCAATAAAGTTAGAGTTAAAGGTCCAGGTGCAGCGGTATGTGTTCATGCAACTTCACCTGAGTGTCACACGAGTGGAGATGTCCTGCAGGTCACCTGGATGAAACAGCTGGGATTCATTTAGTCCCAGTTTCTCGCAGGCTTTCAGGAAAACATTCACATTATCCTGAAATATCAGAACAGATGAGAAAAAGAAAAAAAAAAAAAAAACAAAGCATGAAAAACTAGAGAAACAGTTGATGTTTGTTCTGATAAACTAGTAATGACCAACTCCAGCCTCAAACAGTTAAAATCCACCTCATCCAAACAATTCTCCAAGTGAGAACAGCTTGGAGTACAACCTACAATCAATTCTGATTCATCATTAATCATCTATTCATCTGTCAAGAAACACTCAGTAGATATTATCTAATAAGTAACCCATTTGTTTAGAAATCATACTTGCTCTGTTCAACCACTACAGCAGGCAGGATTACAGCCAAGCACAACTCTAGAGCTGCAAACAGATCTATTTAGATTAGCTTAACATATCCTATCTAGTCGTCTGTCAGTGTTAGTACAGCTACTCCTAAAGGTCACCATTATCATTTTTGAAGTAGTTCAGTACGGTTCAAAGTATTGAGAAACCACTCATTTCTTTACATTTTGCTTCCAGGACTTTCTTGTCACTTGTAAAGTTCTTGTTTTCCTGTCTTTCAAAGGTTTTCTTTCCACTCATTTTCAGTTCAGGTCTTGTACCTTTCTTGCACCACAAGGCAATTTGAAAATGTTTGTCTACAGCAGGGTCTGAGAAATGCACATTCATTGGACTGTAATTTTACACCTGATTTTTAAATTCTAATCATTCAGTAATAATCTCACAGCGACAAAATATAGGAGGCACAAAACTGCAGTTTTCCAAGTCTTAAATATAAAGGATCAGAAAAGGCAAACACATAAATATCTCAGTTCAGGCCTGGTCCAGTCTGAATCTGATCTTTATCATTTTTTGGATCTGTCCTAGCAGGCAAGACCCTATAAACCCTTTGGTTCTGGGTTGACCCACCAACTGATTTAAAGATATTTCAGGGGAGAAACATACATCGAGACCAGTACTCTAAATTTGTTCCTTTTTCAAGTGTTTGACATGTTAAGATGAAATGTTCAGAACAAACCATCTACAAATACATTTAGAGCTGTTTTCAGATTTTAAAGTAATTTCAACCTGAATTTCATACTCTAATCATCTCCAAGATCCAAATGTGAGACATCTGACTGCTTGAGTGTGACCACTTATAATACGAGAAATGATTTACCATTGATCAGTGTGTAACGTATAGTAAGTGTTTGTGTTGTGACTGGCTGACAGCCTGATGGCACAGAGTTGGAGCTACAAAGGCGGATTATATAGCTTTTATTCTGAGCTGATAAATATGCAAGGTGATCACATTCTCCATCCTTACACATTAACACATGAAAAGCGCTCATGTTAAACACAAAAATAGGACACTAACATCGAACTGGGCCTCAGTGTTTGTAAAAATGTAAACTTCAGCAGATTGGCTTACTGCACTTTAGCATGTAACAATTCCAACTCCCATGTAACAAAATATAATAAAGACTGAAAATTCACTATAAATAATGCCAAAGCTTCAAAGGCCGGACAGAGGATATTTATTGTGTTATTCAAAGAATTTCTTGATAGGTGTTGATGTTGATTTTTAATTTGAAGTTATCAGATTAAAAACAAACAAAAGCTCGAGTATTGCTCTTTAGGTTGTGAAAGTAAGAGCCGAACCTCTGCTGCATCTCCCTCTCCCACCCCGCCATCACCACCAGTGCATCCACCGCTGGGCTCCATCTATTGGGCCCTGTTGGGAGCCTGAAATCGATCTTTTCCTGGTCTTGCTTTGGGCTGTTTTGGCAATTATACTTGTATGAAGCTATTGAGAAACAGCCTGAAGCCAAAATAAAAATCTTCATTTGCATCAGTGCCCAATAAAAACAAGCTGAAACTTTGCAGTTGGTTGAAATGCACGTTCATCTTTAGTCAGACTACAACAACACTGTCTCCTTGTGCCTGCAACAGGAAACCACACAATGTTTCAACACTTCCTGGCCAACAGGTGTCTTTTTTGTTTTCTTGCATACTCTGATTATGCAGACGTCATACAGCTGAAGTGTAAACTCACCAGACCAGCGATTGGAGTAGACAGCCTGTTCACCCTCTTGATTATTCCGGGTTTCAACTGATTAATTAGGCTGCGAGTGAAGACAATTAGCAAACAGATTACAAAATATTCCAGCCACAAAAGATAAGAACTGGTAAACAGTCCTAATTTTGACTTCCATTGGCAGACGGCATTTTAGATAAAGAACCACAACTTTTTCTTTTTTAAGCCATCATCCTAAAATCAACTTCTGGGTTAACCAGCAAACATCAGATTTGTGCGTCTGCACTTGTTAATTTATAAGTGTTTATCTTTGCTTACTCAGCAACCTCCAGACTGCAGTTTTGGATGCTACTGTTTTTAAAAAAAATTGTTTCAAGGCTGCTGAAGGCAAGCTGGCAAATCAGCCTGCATACACTCACTAATGATAGGTCTGCATGATAATTATCTTTCAAATTAATTCTTACAGATAAAAGTTTGACCAAAGTAAAACTGCAAAACACTTAAAGTTTGAGCATCATTACTTACTCGCAAAGCAGGACTCCGTTCTCTAATGCGGCCCGGAAGTCACTGCATCCAAACGACTTTCCAGTCACTTCCTAAAGAGGGGAGGAGAGAAAAAAAAAAAGTCAATTATTTGCGTTTCTTTGCTTAATGACTTTTTTTTGGGAAAAGTTGAAGTTAACAAGAGTGCAATTAAAAACACAGCTGGAGGTCCAACAAAATGAAAAATATAGGCTGCAGTGTGGCGTGTACAACTTCATTTTCAGACTCCTTTTGTTTGTTTCTTGTTGTTTTGGCAGTGCGCCTTTACTAGAAAGAATGAACAATAAAATGGACCGAAAACACTGGAAAAAAGAAAAGAGAGAAAAAAAAAAAAAGGCACACAGGACCGACTGGTATGTCGTTTTGACCAGAACCGGCTATAGCACCACACCAGTCCAAATATACTGGAAAAAGCTTGATTCACGGCAGCTCAGCTTCACATGCGCTGCTAATGGATTACTGCTGGATGACACACTTTCAGAGGTCTTTTCCAGCTCACGTCAATCTCAATCAGAGCTTTTTTGGCACTCCACAATGGACCCACAGACTATTAGGCAGTGACATTCAGGTTTGGAACAAGTGTTCAAAACCAGTAAGTAACAGAAATAAGCATGACTGTATGAATACGTATGACTGTATATAATTCATGCTACATTTTAAAAAGGTTCCAACATGCTTAAAATAGTACCACATACTTCTACAGTACTGACACCAACACCATATATCCACCACTGTCTGTATAAACTGGTGTAAACCAGCACATTAATGATTAAAGTATGTTAAAGTGCTTGCAGAGTTCAACTATTAAAGATGATATTTGCCCTTTATACAGTCACCCATTATTTTAGCCATCACAAATATTCTAATCACCCAATCACATGGCAGCAACTCTGTGCATTTAGGCATTCAGACAAGGTCAAGAAGACTTAAGTTCAAACCAATCATCAGAATGTGTAAGAAAGCTGACATGGTTGACGCAGCCAGACGGAGCTCTGAGTGTTTCAAGAACTGCGGAAAATCCCACCAGATCTTCCGGTGGACCTCAGGAAGAATTAGCAGTTGCTGTGGTAACGACTAATTGGTGCCTAAATAATGAACAAGCACCTCTATGCTTTACAGAGAATGGTCTGAAAAACAAAATCTCCATTGAGCAGCAGATCTCTGGGTAAAAACACCCTGTTGATATCACAGGTCAGCTGGAGATGGCCAGCTAGGCTGCTTCAAGCCGATAGGATGGAAACAGTCTCTCAAATGACTGCTGGCTACCGCCATCAAGGTAAGCAGAAGGTATGCTTTGTATTAACAGTTTAGGCTGGTGGTAATGGTTTAAAGGTTTGGGGGATATTTTCTTGGCACACTTTGGGCTGCTTGATACCAGTTGAACATCATTCAAACACCACAGCCTACCTGAGTATTCTTGCTGACCATTGTCCATCCCTTTGTGTCCATCATGTGCCCATTATCTGATGGCTGCTTCCAGCAGGATAAAACACGATGTCAAAAACTCAAATCATCTCAAGCTGGTTTATTTAACATGATCATAAGCTCACTTTACTCAAATGACCTTGGCAGTTACCAGATCTCAGACCATTAGAGCACGTTTGGGATGTGCAGGAACAGCAGAGTCCAATCAAGAAACCGTGTGATCGGAGCAAAATCTCTGGGAGATGTTTCCAGCTCCTTATTTAATCCATGCCAAGAAGAATTAAATATTTTGCAAGCAAGTTATACCAGTATAGCAAGTTGTAGTTAATAAAGTGGCCAGTGAGTGTATACACACACCACTTGGTGTCAAAAACAACTATGCGAAAAACATTAGGAAGCCATAGTTTCAGTTGAAGTTAATTAAAAAGACAAAAATATACACACTACCTCTTGTAGTTGTTGCTGTCAACTATAAGAGTAAATTAAGTGACTTGGGTAAGAGCAGCTGAAATATTCTCCAGCTGCCACATAAAAACAAATAATTACAATACATCTACAGAGAAAAGCAGCCATAAAATGTATGTAAACAAGCATTCACACAACCACTCAAAAGTTGTTTTTGCTCTGAACAACAAATATAGCATAACCTATGGAAATGATTTGACATGGCAGGAGCAAGAACAAGGCAAGCGGGGTTTTGTAATGAGGACATAAAAATGGGACTATTAAGGTTCGGCTCCATAACTAACACGGGGCCCCAAAAGGCTATTCTTCTCACTAATTAGTCCCCCCAGGAATCCACAATTACAATTCATTTTTAGTAGAATCGGGCACTGGGTACAGAGCGAATGCGTCTCAGTGGAATCAGACAAACAATGCAGCGCAAGGTTAACACAATAACACACAATGCGGCTGTGCCGTGGCATGCCGTCTGTTCTACAGCATCAAACACGTAACGTGGTCATTTTAATGAACAATAGTCCCCGAGAAACCACAAATTAAATGAATTTTATCCGTGTGCAACTCGCAAACCTCGCCAGATTGCTTCATTTGTCTAAATAGAGTGTCTCCCAGCCAAAAAAGGATCAAATGACCCTGGGTGGGAGAAAAACAAGCATCATTACATGTAGTCTTTAAAATAATGTATTATTAAGAGCTGCAATGATCTGCCAATTAATCCACAGCAAGTTGCTATCAGGAAATAAAGCAGGAATTTTTCAAAAATGCCAAATATTCACTGGTCAAACAAGATTTGTTAAAAAATAAAAAACCTGAATTACAGTCAATATGTTTCATATTAATGAAGGGATGATGGTGTTACTATAAATGAGGAGAATACATGCTGGACAGCAGGAGGGGGAATCTTCTGCTTCTCCAAGAAACTATGACGTCATATCAAATAGCCCAATTCATTATAATTTCTCCTGGAGTACAGCAAACACTTACATGATGTTGCTGCCAGTTCTGTGCCAATGATAAAACAGTTTGGATGCTTGAATATACGGAAGCTTATTATCCCCCAACCTGTAGCTGGAGATATTAGTGCCAACACGTTCCCATTGTGATCTGGCTCAAGGAACGGTGCATTTACTTGTTTGCGAGCAGCAGGCCTCGCTATACTCCCGTCTAACACATACATGCCTCATCACAGTTCACCCGTTCTTTCATCCGTCAGTGCAGGAAAATAGACGTGCAAAACTGGCACGGGCTTTCTGCCAAGAGACCCCTGCACAAAATTCTCACAATGATCTGCTCGGACACAAGTGACATTAATGGTCCCATTTAGAGTTGGTCGACATCCAGTGCCCACCGTCTACAAGTTGTAGCCATCGGTTATGATTTAAGGATCACAGTTTCTAGTTTGGACAGGAGCAGCCTGAAATAACCTAGAAAATGCACCACACTCAAACCACATCCTCCACAATGCATGCAAGGCAAAGCCTGCCTGCCTACACCACATGCCAGGGTAGCATGCAAAGTGTTACATTTAGCAAATTTAACCCATGCCTTATATAATATAAGCACACTGATACTAAACAAACCTCAAGTAAAGTGTGCACATTATTATTTTCCAGCTTCTTTTAAATATTAACGATTTATATGCCTTTTCTGTATTTGAATTTACCTCTGAAGCCCAGAGACCTGCAGTCAAATACTTTCTGAGCAAACAGACTTCTCAGATAGGTAAGGGTCATAAAAAACCCCTGAGTCTTATCAAGGCATAGTTTGCCTTTGAAACGAAAGATTAAGTATGCAAAAGATGCCACACTTGATGTTTGAGAGCACAGAGCCTCAGTCAGTTTAAAGGTGTATGAGTTTATAGTGAGTTTCAACGATACAAATTATGCACAAGTGCTTTTGCATGGCTGCTTCTGGTTAACGTTAGATTTCCTGCCTTCACAGCGGGTTAAAATAAAGCGACACCAAACCTTCTTAATTGCTTGTAATTAATTGTCTGCAATAAGTGAAGAGAAGCACGTCTTAGAAGTAAATAAAGGGAGAGGAAAGAGTGAAGAACTGAACCTGCAACTACCTCAATCCAGCGTTTGGCCTCGTTGAATGCGTCTGCACTGCTCACACTGGTCTGCTGACGCCACTCCATCTTAGTCTTCTGAACAACTCTAACGAGAGGGCAAAAAGAGGCGAGAATTCGTTACATTCATTAATTACGGAGCACGGAAGCCACGAACCTGCAGCAAGCCTATCAAATAAGGTCAGTAGTATCAGCACACACCCACATCCAAGTGATACTTTAAGAAAAGGCACAGTAATAATTTCTGCCTGTTTGGTCACCTTACGCTGTGGCTTGGCTGCTCACCGGTGAAAGTCTTCCGCTAATTGACACCCAGTTTAACACCGGACCGTCCGTACTCCTGCCACCCCGGAGCCCATCACTGACAGGTTCCGCTTATTGGATGAAGTGTAGCGGAAGGTCTCCGCCCACTAAAAAACTTTCAGGCAAAGTTTGAAGCGAAACCAAAGATGAGCCGAGGAGGGGAGCGTAGACCCTTCATCCCCCTGCTGGCCAGCGGCTGCACTGCACCACCAAGAGATGAGGTTTTAACATTTCAAATACTGAAGAGCCTAAATAATAACAAAAAGTAGATAAAGATAGATAAATACATTAAACAAGGCAGTTTTTTTTAGCGTATACAGCAGAGTATAATGTCTTATTTTTTTTTACATATCAAGCTTTCTAGGTGGAATTCATTTCCCAGTGTGATCATAGTGATGCAGTTCTGATGGAGAATATATATCTCTCTTGGCCTAAGATATCAAAATGAAATGAACTGTGTTTAAAGTATAAAAGCACCCCATTGAATTCTCACTTTGTATTGGTCCTTATTTTAGTTGCATGTCAGTGACACCACTGAGAGTCTATAATTTAACCCCTCAGATGTAACTACATCCATGTCTACATCCATCCATCCATATCCTTACTACCCCGGCAGCTCGAGCTGGAGCTTATTCTGTCTCTCATAGGGCGTGAGGAGAAGTACGCCTCTGGACAGGTTGGACAGTTCATGACAAGGAAAGGCAGACAACCGCTCACACTTATATCAGCGACCTATTTAGAATCACAAATTAGCCGGGCGCTCATGTCTTTGGACTGCAGAAGAAACAGAGCACCCGCAGGTTATCCACGCAGGCAGAGGGAGAACATGCAAGCTTCATGCAGGAAGACCCTGAGAAGACAGTATATTTAAAAACCAGACTCTTCTTGCAACTACTGCATTACTGCGCCATCTACATGGCTACATATCAAATACAAACTGTCATCTGCAGTGCATTCAGTGGCACTTATTGAGCTTGCTTTCTCACTTCTAGTTGATCCAGACATCACGTTCGATCACACAGTATGCAGAATGCAAGCCATGTAATCCATTAACTTCAGAGGATGGCTATATTTAAATAGCAAATGTGCAAAATTATATATTTGCATTAGGTACAGATAAAAAATAATCTCCTTCTCTTCTTTAATTCCATTTGTCAAAGTTATTTTCTGTCAGTCTCTGTAGCACCAGCCCTCTGCCGTACGCAAAACATGACAGTATCATCAAGGGCAGGTCTCTTCACCAGCTATGTCTATGAATAGAAAATTGTTTTTCTTTCTTTTTTTTCCTTTTTATTTGCACATCTGAAAGCATAATGAGAACAGGGTGGACTGGCCTCATCTTGTATTACAGTACGTGCTTACTCCAATCTAATTTTCTGCCAAATGCCTAAGGAGTTGGACTGTATAGGAAACTGTGATGGAATCACATAATTGCAAAGTAAAATGAGGTGCAGAGGTGTAGGACACTGTAGAAAACTTAATGAGATGCCTATTAAGAAGAAAGAACATTATGTGAATCAATAATCTTCACAGACCTTCCATTTATTACCTAAACTGGGAAATTAAAAGATAATTTCCTGAACCACCTGATATGCACACAGAACAATAGGGATTATCTTTTTTCCCCACCTTTGTTTTTGGGCTTCAAACATAAATCCTCTGTCGCTCTTTTGTGAGAATTAAGTAAGGCTGTTCTCAGTGTTCTGATATTTTACAGAAGAATTTTCACACTTAAAAAATTCTGTGCACTGACCATCTTTAGAAATTCACTCAAGGATACAGCCACAGACATCAATTTTCCACTCATTTTTGAAAACAACAGGAAACTTAGAAGCAGCGGTTACTGAAAAGGCTGCCTCTGTTTCTGCACATTCAGAGTGGTATTTATGTACCAAAGGTTTTTTTTTTACCTTTTGTGTGGTTCTTGATGGAAGCTTGAATTACTCTAGGTTGTTAAATTCCTGCCCTGATGAGGCTTTATGTCAGATGCTGGCCACTGATTTATGTTCTTCATGAATAAAGTACTCTATCCAAGATGAAAAACAACAATGGTACTACACAACCCCTTTCACAAGTGCTGCACACTTGAAAAAGCAGAATGACTCTTCATCTTTATTACAGGCATGAGGGTTTGTTGCACATACTGATCCACTGATTAGATAAGGAATAGGATTATAAGCCCAAGTACGAAATACTCATCAACTACAAGGATGTAAATAACATCACTGGTCCTCTGATGATCCATTTACATTGTGTATATAAAATGATAAGATGTGTGTTTATTGTGATTGTTCAAGAACACCTGGTCGATAAATAGATTAGAATAAAGCCCAAAAGGCTAATCTCTTTAGTTCTAATATATGCTGGATGAATGTTCAGTGAATGTTTACAGAGCATCCAGAAAGTACTCACAGTGCTTCACGTGGTCCACATTATGGCATGCTACACCCTTGATTTGTTCCAAAATTGAATATATTAATTTTTCACCTCGAATTTCTACACACAATACCCCGTAATTACAAAGTGAAAAATTTCTGCTTGAGATTCTTGCAAATATATTGAAAAAAAAAAAGTAACCTGTACATAAATATTCAGTCTTTGTTCAGTACTTTACTTTTTACAACAATTACAGCCTCAAGCCTTTTTGGATATGATGGTACAAGCTCGGGATGGGAAGCATCGCGCATGAGCATTTTCAGATCTCTTCAGAGATGTTCAACAAGGTTCAAGTCTGAGCTCTGGCTGGGTGGCTCAAGGAGATTCACAGTAGTCTCAAAGGCACTCCTTTGTTATCTTTGTGGTGTACTTAGCCCAGTCCAGGGTCTCTGGAGCAGGTTATCATCAAGAGTGTCTCTGTACATTGCCGCATTCATCTTTACCCCGATCCTGACTAGTCTTTCAGTTTCTACTGCCAAAAAACATCCCCACAGCATGATGCTGCTGCAAACATGCTTCACTGTAGGGATGATATTGGCCAGGCGATGAGTGGTCCCTGGTTTCCTCAAGACATGATGCTTGGCATTCAGGCCAAAGAGACCAATCACTGTTTCATCAGACGAGAGAGTTTTGTTTCTCATGGTCTGAAAGTCCTTCATGTGTCTCTTTTGCAAACTCCAGGTGGGCTTTACAGACTTCTGCCTGGCCACTCTACCATACCGGCCTGATTGGTAAAGTGCTGCAGAAATGGTTGTCCTTCTGAAAGGTTCACTTCTGTCTTTAGCAGAGCTGGTGGCTACAAACTTCTTCATTTTATGGAGGTCACTGTGCTCACTGGGACCTTTAATGCTGCAAACATTTCTGTGTGTCCTTCCCCAGATCTGTGCCTCAACACAATCCTGTCTTGGATGCCTACAGACAATTTTTTGGACATCATGGTTTGGTTTGTGCTCTAACATGTACTATAAACTATTAGACCTGTATAGATAGATGTGTGCATTTCCAAATCTGAATTTACCACAGGTAAGACTCAAATTGAGCCCCCTTTCTTTTGGAACCAGAAAGAAAGAAAAACCTTCCATCTTAGATAAAGCTTAAAGTTACTTCTTCATCAGACTCTGAACCTGCTGTTGTTCTGCTATAGTCTCAGGCTCCTGGAGGATTTCCCATGATGCACTGAGCATTTCTTTTCCACTCACCCTTTTCACTCCCCAGGTGTTTAGAGACCACTACTTAATGTCATGAAATTGTGTCTTCTCTCTGCAATAGTGTGTGTTTTGTGCCTTTTTTTTCTTTTACTTTCCCCTCACCTCCTAACTTGTTGTGTTTGATGGCTGACCCTCTCTGAGCCTGCCTCTGGGAGAGCTATCTTCCTGTTACACGGGAGTTTTTCCCTCCCACTGTTGCCAAGTACCTGCTCATAGGAAATCATCTACTTGTTGGGGTTTTCTCTCAAAGGTAGTAGATCTTTACCTTCCAGTATAAAGCACTTTGAGAAGACCGTTGATGTGTTTTGGCCCTGTATAAATAAACTGAACTGAATGTAAAGATGTAATGACTAGTAAACTACAATTAGTAGTTTGAGTAATCACTATGCTGAAATCACTGTAAAACGATCCAGGAGCTTATGATGTAATAAGGAGTCAAGACATTAAGCTAAATAAATAATGTACACATAATTAGCATAATTATTTTTTTGGGGAGTGAAAAGATAATTTACCGTTCAATTGTTTGGTTTCAGATTTTATAAGTACAATACCTTTAATGCTTCTGCTCTCTGTCTTTGAGTCCTTTTTACAAATGTGTCCTGAATTTATTGATGCATGAACAGCTAAATATAAAAAAGAAAGAAAAAGTACTGCAAAAGTAATGCATTACATTTTACTTATGTTATGGGTCCATATGAATGCATCAACTTATCATAGCCGATGAACTAATCTGTTGCACTGGGCTGCCACTGGGTGTTGCTGTAACTCTGCATCTGCATGGCTCAACTGGAGGGGGTGGTTTATGGTGGATGAAGGGGACGGGGAAAGGGAGAGTGAAATGGACAATGACGACAGTCTGATTTGCCTCCACATGATGCAGTTATTTCCCATATTTTCCATTTATGTGTTCCCCTGGGTCCAGTCCAGAGTGAGGTTAAGAGTAATGTGATGCTGCTCAGAATACTCAATTTTCAATTATACCCGCCATCATTACGGTTGTCAGAAGCTGCGAAGTCAACAGCTAATATGTCCTCCATTGTTTTTTATTTTATTTTACAGGAACTGAAGAGAAAACCAAGGAAATTTTGTACCAATAAAATGTTCTCCTTCTTTCTATTTATTACTTTATTTATTATTTATATTACCTCATGCTGTTTTTTTAAAGCATCTCAGCTGAATTTCTAATGGATAACTGTTTTACGCAATATGTTTATACATAGTGTTTTTTTTAAACATAATTATCTGATCATTAATGAAATGCAATGAATTTATTAAGGTGTGTCATCTTAATTATATATTTTTTTAAAGTTTAATATTGGTAAAAAAATATATCACACCAATGGAAAATGCTTCTCTCTATGTGTAGCTCCCTCTCTTTGTTGCTCAGACACTTTTTATCAGGAACTTCATCTAAATTCATCATACCTCCTCCTCCGT